TGGTCATTTTTACCACAAACGAATTAAACAAGACAGAAGCAGTGGCTAAAATAATAAAATAGCTGCCTCTTTCACTACATGTTTGACAACACTTGATTTGACACACTATTAGGTAGCATTACAAACTGTTTACATACTCTGAAACATATATCACCACTACTAAGCTTTGATACCATATTGCAAATGCTTCTGTTTAAATACACTGATTTGTGCTCACTTATGAGTGCACACCCAGAATGTCAACAACACTTAAAATGAATCAATTTCTTAAAGGATTTGAGTTCATTCTGATGAAAAGACCAGATTAATTACTTTGTTTTAAATTTTCTGTAATCTTAATATCATTATCTTTTGCATCTTCTCAGATCCAAGTGTCATACCGAGTTTAAGGACATGAAACAGGACATCCACACAAAAGGGATAGACCTTTCATCCTATTATTATTTAATTAACTATTCTCTAGAAATTCATGGGCATTGAGCTTTGTTCTGAAAAGTAAATAGTCCTGTGCACCAGTAAGTAAAGCAAAAATTTCAGCAGTAGGGATTTTCTCAGCAAAATCTCATGGCTCCCCTTTTAGCTTATCTAGCCCTCCTGGCTCTCAAAGTACAGCCCACAAAATAAGAAGCAAAATGATTTTCCAATCCAGCTGTTCTTAAACATGTAGGAGAAAACTTTTCTTTAAAGAAGAGCCAACCTCATGGAAAGGGTCTTGTGGCACCTACGTATAATAAATAATAAGCCATCATCACAGTCTCGCATTTCCTTCTTCCTAGGAAAATCAGGAAATCTCTTTATAATAGATGATCAGATGTCTTAGTCTGGAGATCCCAAATAAAACTGGGTGTAGACATGTGAGATTAAAACAAAACGATGCTGGGCTACGCTCCTTTTTAACATAAGATACTTTTATTTCTCTTTGGCTGAGAACATGATTTATGCCTACTGATGGCCCCCCAATATACCAGACAGAGCAGCTGGGTGAGACATTAGGGCAGACAAGAAAATGACCTATCATCTCGGACATACTTACTTGTTTCTTTTAATTCTGACTGTCTGACCATTGCAGAGCCTCCATGAGAACATGCGAATGGCTGGACTGGTTCAGATTGAGGGTCTGCCCTGCCAGTACTCTGCCTCCAACGATGGCTCTAGGCACGACCGCCCGAACTGAGGGCAAGCGTGTACGATACTTCTCCTCATCCCCTACCCCCATGTCTCTACCTCCAGCTATTCTCAGCTCAAAGGAGTTGCTGATCCATTTACGGTTTGTCTAGCTAATGACCTCCTCAGGTCTCCAGTCTGCTATGTAAACTTCCTGCACCCACAATGCTGTTTGGCAAGGAATGCCATATGAGTTCTCCATTGCATGGAGAATACTCATACTACGTAGTCTCACTCCAGCAGACAGCATTTAAAAGAATAACAACTTTTTTAGTATCAGCAGATACAGATCATGTTTCTCAAGGCATTTGTTCCTATTTATATGAGAAAAACAATGACACTCTTCTCATATACTGGTATAAGAACCTCTTTCAAGTCTATTTTGGAGACATTCACTTGAATGTCGAATGGCTTTAAAAACTCAGTGCCCTTCTGAACAAATGTTCCTTCCTTTTAAGCTTCTAAAAACTGATTCATGCTTTTTAATCTGTTGCAACTTTTTTTCTAGAAAATGCACTTGTATGAGCTAAAGTGGCCAAGTTTGGTATACCATTGAATTATCCTGGAAAGGGCCTTGCTTTCTCAGTCCATAGAGGCAAAACCTACAAGAGTATTAACATTTCCAGTTCCAGTCTCCACAAATGCATTGTTCTGAAAACCCCAGAGAAAATGTCCCCTACAAAACAAAAGAACACTTAACGGATTAATATATATAGCCTTTTAATTTTCACAAACTGTACAGATAACTGCCACAAATCTCAGGTGTTTTTACCATCTCAATGATTAAACATCTCTGTAAGTAGCAGCAAAAATTTTATAACCTCTCAGGGCCTGCATCATTAAGTACTGAAAATAACTTGAAGTGCTGTGCAAAGCAAACGGTATAGTTGTAAACTCCTACAGACTCCTAGGAACTTGAAGCCTTTCTTAAGGCAATAGTCAGTAATATTTCATTTCTCTACTTTTTATCATCAGATGTTCTAGTCATTCTGGTATTGACATTTCTGGCTCTGCATTAGCATCGCTGTACCTGCGTACACCCGTATGCACCTGCATACACTGGTTGCCCAGATCAACTCTTCTAGAATCAGTATATCTCTACCACCTTTCTCCACAACAGGCTGAAAACAAATCCGTGGTCCATGAATAACAAGTTTCTCAACAGCAGCTTTTCAATACAGAGCTTGCAATCTGTCTCCCATTCACTTTGTCAAATTATGGTCCACATATCAGCCATTTGCAGCAGTGATATATCTGTCAAGCGTCAAGTACATTTCTTGCAAAGGCAAGTCTTTTTTAGGATTTTTTAACTTTCAAAATGTCTAATCCCAAACATGCAAAATAATGAGTCAGACGCCAAAAAATCATGAGATTTAGAAAAAAAAAATATGTTAATGTCTTTTCCTTTGCTTTCTGGAGCTTTTTCTGGGTCATGTTTTCAAGCTTTTCTCCAAGGCCATAAGGGTTTCAAACATTATTAAAAAGAAAGCAACTCAGATCCTTTTGTAATTGCATGTTTAAGGAATTCATTTATTGCCATCAGACTTGAATTGTGTTGAACTGACAACCAAGAATCTTCAGTGATATTTTTTATCAAATAATCCTGAAAAAGGAACATTGCTTCAAACCTGTTTTCTCTAGAGTTTTGTTTACATTACTTATGGTTTTTTTTCCAGATAATTAAGCTTTACTGAAAGCAGGTTGTTAGACATGGAGGATAGTCATGACTTAACACTATCTTGAAGGACTCTTTACAATATCAAAATATCTGAGGTACAGATTATAGATCCTCACACAAACAGTAATTTCTTCACCTGAAATTTGTGATTTGCTCCCCCTTAATACTGAGTCCCCTTGAAATCTTTACTCTGGATTTTTTTTTTCAGTGACAAGAAGACAGTTCTGTGTGACAATGTGTATTACAAATCTTCTTAGTTCTTCAGATTCCAACTGTTTTCTGACGGAAATATTCTTAAGTATTTGATAAATGTAACCATTCCTCTTAATTGTCATCATCTCAGCTTATTTGTGTGGCACTCACTAATTTGTTTTTATTTAAAGAGGGAAAGGCATTCCTTTCTTTTCATAATACAATTCCTCTGCGGGGCATTATCTAAGCTCAGGATAGTGTCCTTCCTGTATCTTTTCTCTTCCATCCTTTCTGTCCTGATTATAACTAGCAGAGACTCAGCAGGCAACCCAGTGGGATTGCTCATGGTGTCTTGAAGTCATCCTTTCTTTCATTGTTTTTGCCTGTTAAGCCTTGTTTTGCTCGTCAATCCCTCTCCTGCATCCCACCGGATTCCCAACTTGCTTTTGTCAGCACCCTTGTTTGTAGCTAATTGTGCTCCTCTTCATTTTTCCTACCCCATTCTCTCTTCTTCTTCCTTCCTCCCCTCTCCGTTTGCCCATCTCCTCAAGTTTCCCTCCTCCATGCTGCTGTGAGGAAGACGGTGCCTGCTGTCAGTACTGCCCACAGCATGGCCAGGCCCAAGCACTACGAGCAAACGAGGCAGACCCCAGCTGATGAGGTATTTCATGGGTGGTTCTTCTGACTCTTTTACTTGCTTCCTGGTTTCCGAGGCGTGCACACGGATCGCAGTTTATTTCTGCCACCACAAACTCTGGGCGATGGCTTCCACTCTGCTGGGACACAGAACGAAGGGCTCACCTAGCCCAACCGGGCCCTGCTTGCAGCTCGACCCTGGTCACCCTCACAGGACTGCCAAGGGAGCCGGGGCACGGCACGCCTGACCCGACCTTTGCAAAATGGTTGTGGAGGAGATGGGCCGGGGGCCGTGGAGATGGGCCGTGGGGCTCTCACAGAGGCACCTCAAGGGACCTGCCCGCGGCCACACTGGCAGCCTGTGGCCGACCCATCGCGC